CCCCCCCCCCCCCCCCCCCCCCCCCCCAGCTCGGGTCAGACATTTATGATTCCTCCATGCTCCATGACTGGATATCGGCCGCAACTGCTCGGGATCCCATTTCTCAACACTGTCAAAGCTCGGGCCTATCTCCCTTCGACACGACTTGATCTTACCCTGGCTATCTCTGGCTCATCGGTTTGGTTTGGCTTACGATTTCCACGCTTGATCTCTTTACTTTTGACCGGAACGCATGAACGCACAAACGTACAGACGCACGATCTATCTATTCCCGCATTGTTCTTCGATATATCTATGGCTGCTGCTGTGGCCGCCGCCGCCGCTGCAACAGCAGCTTTCCATCTCCCGTATTTGTGGAGAGGTCGATACCAAATTTTAGTGGATGGTGTATGATGCATATGCTTGGGGTGTAGAAGCACTACATGTACTTGGGAACGGGGATTGGGACATGTTTGTAGTACACAACGCAATTGTACAGGTTTGGAAAATGCTGAGTGTCTTGTGTGAGTGTCCAGGCCGACCTGTTGCTGGAAGAGTCGGCAACATGCATATGCGGGCTGTGTAACGTGATAACGGCTTGAGTACCTCTCACTCACTGTTTTTTTGTACACTTTTGTGGCTCGTGCCTGGATCGCTGCCTGTCTCTTCAGACTACGAACATCTTCCCTCCCCCTCAACCGGGTAGCTCTTTGCTCTCGCCTGTAGCTTCATGCTACTGCCTGCAATTTGCACGTGCCGGCCCCGGACCGATCGCCGCTCCCTCCAGATCTCAGGGATCCACGCTCCACGTGTCCTATCAGCCTGCGCCTCTAACCACGCAACATTTCAAGCCCGCATGCTGGCCATCCCTTCCCTTCCCAGCTAGCACCCACCGCCCTTACGCTCCCCTTTCCAGAAATTCTTAAAATTCTGGAAGTTCTAAACCCTCCGGGTTTTCGCTCACTCCCCACACAAGCCTGTGACAGTCTTTTGTCCGAGACACGTTCCAGCACGAGTGCACAGGCGCACAGTCCCAAAGCGCCCAAGTTATTTATACGTTTTACCCTGGAAACATTCTCCTGCCTTGGGCTGGTAGTCGGACCTTCCCCATTCTGCACCTTTTTCATGTCCGTACTTGTGCCACAACTCCCAGCACATCCAGTAGGGTAATCTCCCACGTGCTGCGCTATTATGTTGTCTTTTGGCAGGAGGAGGATCCCGGACTGCGCAAAGTCTCTAGACGTTAGTCCCTTGTAATTCATCATGATGGCTAAGCACGCCCTCGCACAATCTCAGGTCTGTGAGCACATATCTCCTTAAGTAGATCGTCACCTGCAGTTCTTCCAGCACTTATGAGTCTGCAACCGACTCCGCTTTCCTCCAACCCGAATCGCTCTCCTACCACCTTGATCTTTCCACATGTTCCTCGCATGCCAACCAGGGAACCCAGTGCTGTACACCTTGAGCTGTGATCCCGTGCTCCTATTGATGTTCCTATTGATTGTCTGTGAGTCCTTTCACAAGAGGCTGTTGTCCCGCACATCCGTTTTGATGACGTGGAGGGAAGCATCATGTGAAGAAAACCCGGTGGAAGCAGGCTGTGCACCGAACTGTGTTTCTCTGCAGAGTACCTAGTTGAATCATGTGCTGTCGAACAAGCAAGTTCAGTCACACTTCCGCGGGAGTGCAGCTCACCGCAAGGCCGTACAGCTGAAGTTGAATTATGACGAGGGCTTGCTGAAACTGAGGACTGCTGGGTTTGCAGCTCGCCTCTTTTGCTACAGCGACCACGAATCCTCTTTCGCTTCAGGATTTACGGGCTTCTTGGTCGACAATTACTACTGTACGAGTCCTCTCACCTTGTTCACCGAGTGTACGAAGCTCTGCGACGTCTCCAATTTCCGTTTGGGAACTATAGCTTATATCTCTTGTTCAACAACACTCTTCCATCTACTTAGCACTCTGCAAAAGCTGCACTGACCTCCGCTCCTATTCTCCCGCACCATCAACATGATGTCCGTCCATCGCATGACCCAGTTAGAGGCTCTCGCCAGCCTCGATAAGTGTGGTGACGATATTCCGAAAGCAGTGGATATCATCAGCAAGTATACCGAGGCCAAGTTCCGTCGGGGCAAGAACGACATTTTGTATGTCAACCACAAACTCGAGATTCTGGAGGTGAGTCCGCTCCTCGCCCCTTGCTGGCTCAGCACCTGATTCCTTCGGAGAAACGAAATTCAGACAACTATAACCTCTATGAAGCCTTCCGTTTAGCTCGCGAACGAGCTTTCCTGCCCCCAAGCTACGTCCTCCCAGCCTGGAGCACACTGCCCCCCGGTCATCCTCCCGACTGGTGGCACCCGATGCAATCTCTGCAAGCGTCGGGCTCGCCTCCTTTCATTCTCCTGATATGGCCTCACCTTGCTCACATGGAACACTGGGTGAATCTTAAAGGAAGGTGGCAAGTATAGCCTATAGGCATTAGGATTTACTTGCTCTTTTACTTTAAATGGCCCAAGCCATTTATCATCCAGTTTCTTGGCAGGCCTGGTGGTCTTGATATCTTTGGCATGCAGCCATAC